TCATTCATCTGCAACTAATTAGGATCCTGGTTGGATAATTTTGTAGCTTTCTAATGAACAACTGTTGGATGACAAGCAGTTGAGTAGTATATCAGAGAATACGAATTATTTATTAATACAAATTTAATTAAAATCAGAATGAAATTCAAAATTTGTACATTTTTTTAAATATTTTTTCATTTCATCTGCAACTTCCTTATATATATTTCCAATTTTTAAATGTTTAATATTTAAAAATATTGCAAGTCTCAAAAAAGATTCATCATCAAATCTTGGATTTGATTTTTCAAATGTACCTGCCAAATTTAAATTTGATAAACATGGAAATTTTTCACAAATAATTTTAATTCCCTTTTCACCAATTTCAGAATCAATTAATTTTAATTCTTTTAAATTTGTTAAATTAATTAAATGTTTAATTCCTTCAAATGTAATCCAATCTAATTTTAAATATTTTAAATGACTTAATTTAGAAATATGAATCAAATCTTGATTAACTATATCAGTTCTAAATAAATCTAAAAATGTTAATTTTTTCAAGTTACTTAAATAGGAAATATCTTTAATATTCTTATTAAAAGATAAATTTAATTGTGTTAAATTTTTTAAATGAATTAAAGGTTCAATATTTTCAATTTGATTTAAAGATAAATTTAAATTTTTTAAATATTTAAATTGATTAAAATTTGTTAATTTTGAAATTGAATTACTACTTAAATCCAAATATAGTAATTTATGTAAATTTAAATCAAAATTAGAAATTTGATTATTATTTAAATCTAAATGAGTTAAATATTTTAAATTTAATAAAAATTGAACATGTTCATCTTTAATTTCCCATTTTTCACCTGTAATTCCTAATATAGATAATTTATTTAAATGTTGAAAATATTGAATACCATCACCAGTAACACCAGTTGAATTTAATTCTAAATGAGTTAAATTATTCATTTTAGAAATTAATTCACATCCTTTTGTACCTATTTGTGATTTATTATTAGTAATTACTAATTTTGTTAAATTACTTAATTTAGATAAATGTTTACAAATAATTAAATTAATATTATTATCAATTATAATTAAATTATTTAAATAATTTAAAGTAGATAAAATACATGGTTCATCTATAGATTGATAACCTAATTCCATTAAATTTAAATTTTCATTTACAAATAAAGGTTCTAAAGAATTAATTGATTTTTCAAATTGAATTTTTTCTAAATTTTTAAAATTATTTATAAATAAATTTGATAAATTACTTGTTAAATTATAATTTCTAAATCCAGGAATATAACTTGTTTGTAATTTTTTTAAATTTATCATATTTGTAAAAATAAAATTTAAATCTGTAATATTAGTTTTACAAATATATAATTCAATTAAATTATTTAATTTAGAAATTACTTCAATTGAATAATTATCAATTTGTGTTTCATTTAAATTTAATATTTTTAAATTTTTTAATTTTATAAAATTTTCATTTAAATAATTAATTTCTAAATTATTTGATAAATTTAAATTAATTAAATTATTTAAATAAAATGAAATTATTTGAATTGAATCATTTGTAATTTTAATATTATTTGATAAATTTAATTCAATTATATTATT